TGCCACCACCTCATTGGACTTATTCTTTCTCCATCTGCTTTTATAATTTTCTCTTGATTGCTAGTTTTGAGAAATTTAATTGTGTGTTGCTTTCATGTTTTTCCTTTATGTTTTACTTGTTAAAATTTGTTGAGAACTTATTTAACTGTGGATACACCATTTTCAGGAGTGTTGGAGAATATAGTGCCATATCTTTAAATTTCTTTGTCTCTTTCTTAATTTGCCAAATCCTACTATCACTGTATTAGACAGACTGAAGTATTTACAGGTCCCTGACTCTATTTTAAGATATGTTATTGCTTTTTTCGCTCTTAATTATTCTGGATAGTTTCTGATGCTGTCTTCAAGGCTCATGTGTTTTCAAAAGAAATATTTAATCTACCACTCACCCTCCCCAGTGTTCCATCCCAGCACCCTCCACCACATCATGCCATCCTATTAGATTGAACCATAACCTAAACAGACAGCAGGCATGGTCAGAGAACGACAGACATCAGTGAAACGTAGAAGTCAGTTTGTGGTTCTGATGTTTTATTGTCTGCGGCATACAACTAAGAACAAGGAGAGTGTGTGACATGCAAAGTCACTCCAAGACCTCCCTCCACGCTCCAGGCCCTGAGTGGATCACCCGTGCTCAGACCCTCCCGGCCTGAAAAAGCAGGACTGCAGAGTGTCAGGAACGCAGTCCTGAGTGCCCCAGCGAAGGCAAGGAAGGATGTGAGGGGCAAGTGAGACACAGCTGACTAGGGAAGAGAATTAGGAGGCAGTGGACATCAGCATGGCCTCTCCTGGGAGCTGGTAGCTGAATCCAGCTTCGTTCCATATGGAAAAATGGGCCCTCAGTTGTGGTCTGGGGTGAGTCATGAAGGACAGGTCACAGATTGGATTGATTGGATCTTCAGAACTCACAAGGCCCCAAGTTCAAAGCCTTAGATCTTGCACTGGCAGCAAACGGGGCCGCAGCAGCTGGACTGGCAGCAGCAGGGCTTGCAGCAGCTGGATTGACAGCAGCAGGGCTTGCAGCAGCTGGACTGGCAACAGCTGGACTGACAGCAGCAGGGTTTGCAGCAGCTGGACTGACAGCAGCAGGGCTTGCAGCAGCTGGACTGACAGCACCCACAGCCCCCCTTGGAGCCCCCACAGGAGCTACAGCCCCCGCAGGAACCACAGCCCCCCTTGGAGCCCCCACAAGAGCCACAGCTGGAGCAGGAACAGGCTGGCACACAGCAGCACACGGGCTGGCAGCAGCTGGACTGGCAGCAGCCACAAGAGCCACAGCCCCCCTTGGAGCCCCCACAAGAGCCACAGCCCCCTTTGCCACCGCTGGAGCAGGAACAGGCCGGCACACAGCAGCACACGGGCTTGCAGCAGCAGACGGGCACACAGCAGCTGGAGCCACAACCCCCACAGCCAGAGCCACAACCTCCGGAACAGCCACAGCAGCCCATGGTTCTGTTGGTTGAGAGTGGAACAGGTAGAGGCGCAGGTGGAGATAGAAGTGATCAGGTTTGGGCTCTCCTATGCCCACAGGGCCTTTATATCCTGCCCGGTCACTTACCACTGGGTCACGTCACCAGGGCTGTTTACGGTATTTCCTCAAAGTGCTTATTGGTTTGCTGGACGTGGGGTTCTCAGTGGCCTGATGCAAAACTACTCACTTGCTAACGTCAATCTTTAGCCACTTCCTCATGATTAGACTCTCACCTTCACTTGGTCACCCGCCTTCCAATTTCTGCATGTGCCAGGCAGAAGACGCATTTCCACCAAGACCATGTGGGTGGTTTCTCCCCGTCTTGTCTTTCCACCTGTGCAAATAGATGTCCTTGAACTGTGGGCTCTGTGTCCACCCGGGTTGTTTCTTCCTGACTTTTCTCTGTGTCGTTAAGAGGCTGAATTGAACACACACGCTCTGACCTCATTCTGCATTGACACCTGCATGCGCCTCTGTTAATCTTCCCCTTCCTGACTTGAAGACATCAGGTGCTGGTGACTCTTGGGTCCTCCATGTTCAGCATCTCAGCAGTGAGAATCCTGTATTGTTCACATCATCGTGAGTTTTGGGGACGGCAAGAGTGTCTCGCTCATTGTCCTATTGTGGATTTATTTAATTAGTTATGAATGAGGGTGATCTTTTTACTCTATGGCAAGGTATACTTTCTTTGACTTGTTGTCATTGTTTTAAAAGCTATTCGCTATGGAGGAATCACATTCTTTGTGATCACACAATGTACTTTGTTTTCCATGTGTGTTTTCCTGGGAGTTTAGTCCAAGACATTTGTAAAAGCCACTTTCCCCTCATCTTAATTGTCATTTGATTTTCTGCCTGGCCTACGAGATGGTATGAAAATGAGGGTCTCTACAACTTGGGGGAAAGGCCTCGTCTTGTCTGAAATTGGAGGGAGAGACATCATCGTTCCAGGAAATGCCATGTCACGAGGAATGTGGAGACAGAAGCCTGAGTGAAACACCAGAGAGGGTGGTGCCCACTCTGTGGGCTTAAGCTCTCTCCCCAGAAACAAAGATCAGGGGTGCGGCCTTGCAGGGTTGCAGCTTACCCCTCCTGACCAGCTGGAGCGCACCTAGGTGGCCACCTTCCACAAGACCTGGGCCGTGAGTCCGAGCCAGGCTGCTGACAAGGCTCTGCCCCCGCCAGCCATGCCTGCGGCTACCCCAGAAGCGAATCCAGCAGCTGGTGCCACCCTCTAGGCTGGGCCTGGGGGCTCTGTTCCCAGACACTGGGCAAAGGGAGCCAGAGCATCTCAACTTGTTTCCACACAAGTAGAAAATCTAGATAGGATTGTCCAAAGCTGAGAAAGAGAGAAGGAGATGCTCCAAAAACTATACAACGGAGCACTATTACAGTAGAAGAGGGAGGGGGAGATGGAAGGAAGAGGGAAAGAGGAAGGAAGAAGAGAAATAAGGGAGAAAAGGAGAAAAAAGAAGGAAGGGTAGAAGGCAGAAGGAAGGGGCAAAATAAGTGAGGAGAAAGAAATGGAGGAAGGAAGGAAGGAAGGAACAGAAGAACAACAGTAGGAAAGGAAGGACGGAAAGAAGAAACAAGGAAGGCAGAAATGAGAGTAAAAGGGAGGACGCAGAGAGAGAAGAGGGAAGGAGGGAAGGAGCGGAAGGAAGAAGAAAGAGAGGAAAGCAGTAAGGAGGAAAGAAAGAAAGTAGAAACGAAATGGAGAAAGGAGAAATAGGCAAGAAGGAAGGTGGGAAGAAGGAGGGAAGGGGGAGGGAGGAAGGCAGGTGGGAGGGAGGAAGCCAGGAAACCAGGGAAGAAGACACGTTATTCCAGCGACACGGACGGCATCGGGAAGCAAAAGTAGCTTTCCCGAGTGGCTGAGTCACACCGCAAACCTGAAATGCGCCATCCTAACTCCAATAGGGCCCACAGACGACACGGTGGAGTCTAGAATCAGTTCATGAAGGGACCCCGGAGGCCTGGGGAGATGGCGGAACACAAGAGTCACTACAGAGCGGGGGACCGGGCTCGGGGGCAGGGGCAGCATAGCGGTGGCAGGAACTCGAATCGTGGGCAGGAGAGAAAGGCTTGAGCTGCTCAGCGTGCGGATGAAACGCAGATCCGCTAAGTCAGCCAGACCGCGGTTCGGGGACACGGGAGACAGTGCAGACCCAGCCTCGGTATAAGTGGGGAGGCCGTCATTCGCATAAGGCCCTTTTGCGGACATGTTTTCGTTTCTTTTGTTAAGTATCTAGGACTCGGACTCGCTAGACGGCAGGCCAGTGTATGTTTAACATCGTAAGAAACTGACAATTTCCAAAGTGGTTTTCTCCAGTCGACCCTCCCCAGTGACGTCTGGGAGTGTCAGTGGCCTTTGGTAACATGGCTGCGTTGGCTTTGAAACGTGAGCAGCGGGGTGGGCAATCCCATCTCCTGCTGATTTTGACTTGCTTTTCGAAATGACTAATGCCTGTGAGGTTCTTTTCATGTGCTTATTGCCCACGGATATATCTCTCTTATTAAAAGTTTTGTGAAATGCTTTGCCCATTTTGTTCCTGTCTTTGTTGTTGATGTGTTGGAGGTCTTCATAAATTCAGGCTGCATAAAGTGCTTTGCCATACACATCCGTATCTGTATTATCGTCTATCTTTATATCTTCTCTATCTTGATCTATATCTTTTTATATCTATCAAGTATGTCCTTATCTATCTGTCAGATTTTTGTGTCTCCTGCTTTGCCTCATTATGATCTTAACTTCTTTGATAGGAAAAAGTATTTGACTTTTAAATTTATGTTAACTTTCTCATCCTAATGGTTAGTGCTCTTTTTTGACCACTCTGAGAAGTCCCCTGGGTGTTAGAATATTAGAGTTCTGGTCTCTATGACGACTTCTATGATGGATCTCCAACTAATTTTTGTGTGCAGAGTGAGGTGGAAGTTGAGATTGGTTTTCCATGCATTTATCCAGTGGTGTTAGCCGTATTTGATGAAGCTGCCTTCCTTATCCCACTAAAATCCTGAAAGGAAATCCATTGAAATATCTGTTGAGTCTGTCTCTATATTCTGTTCCACAGATCCACACGCCTCTTCCTAATGCCAAGACAACATCCAGTCACTGAAACATTTCAGGAAGTTTGGAAGTCAGGTAGGGAGAGGCCGACAACTGCATTTTTCTCTTTTAGGAGTGTTTTAGTTTTTTCAATTCCTTTACTTTTCTCAGCAAATTTTAGAACCACTTGTCAATCTCAACAAAAGCATCCATTTATGAGTTGATAGCATCTTGCTGCATCCATAAGTCCATGTAAGGAAAAATGACATCGTAGCAACCCTCGTCGCTCCGCTTCAGGAATACAATATATCTCTCCATTTACTCTGGAGTTTAAAGTTTCTCTCACCAATGTATTGGAGATCTTAATATACATGTCATGCCCATATTCTGTTAACATTTTTTCCAATCACTTTATGCTCTTTAGAATTTTATTTTCTAGAGTTCGTTCTTAGTATGTAGAAATAGCAGATGGGTATGGTGATTCACGCCTGTAATCCCAGCACTTTGAGAGGCAGAAGTGAGAGGATTGCCTGAGCTCATGAGTTCGAGACTTGCCTGGGCAACTTAGTGAGACCTCGTCTGTACAACAAATCAAAAAACAATTAGATGGGTATGGTGGTGCAAACCTGAGCTACTAGGAAGGCTGAGACAAGGATTGCCTAAGCCCAGAAAGAATGTCGACCTCCAGTGGCCATGAGCGTGCCACTGCCCTCCAACCTGGCCAACAGAGTGAGATTCTGACCCCAAAAATAAAAATACAATTTATTCTTGTATGTTGTGTTTGTATTCGCTAACCTTGCTGAATTATTTTTTCTAGATGCTTTTAATAGACACCTTGGAATCTTCTACAGATAATATTATGTCGCTAAAGGATAGTTTTACTTTTTCCTTTCCAATCTGCATACCTGTTGAATTTCTGTTTTTTCCCTCTCTCTTTTGCTTATATTTATTTTTATTTGAAAGATGTGGGGTACAATTCAGTATTAGGTATACACGTGGTCATCGTACAGGTAAAGTTTGGTCTCCCTTTGGTTCCCCACTTCACCTGGTTTGAGATCAGGTGCCCTTATTAATGTTATGTGTCCCCTCCCTCCCACCCCTGGCAGTTTCTGGCTACTGCCAATCCCTTTCTTGTAGATTATAGTAAATGTTCAGGGTCTGCTTATGAGTGAGAACACGTGGTACTCCGTTCTTTGTTGCAGTGAGAGATCACTGAGTATTATAGACTCTAAATAGATCCAAGTTGCTGCAGAGTCCATAATATTGTCCTTATTTGTGGCTGCATAATATTCCTTCAAGTATATATACCACATTTTAAAACCCAGCCCTGTATCAGTGGGCAGCAAAGTTGGTTCTATGTTTTTGTTATTGTGAATAGAGCTACAAAAAACATGCGTGTGCAGGTGTCTTTTTGGAAGAGTGGTTTAAGTTCCTCCAGCACATTCACAGAAGGAGGATTGCTGGAGTGTTTGCAAGGTCAATTTCTAGATCTTTAAAGAATTGCTACTTATCACGACTCTTAGCTCTGTTTCTTACTAGGCTGGCCAGGCCCTTCAGTGCAGCATTGAACAGGAGTAGTGAGAGCCGATATCCTTTTCTTGTTGCTGATCTTATGTGAAAACATTTGGTCTTACACAGTGAGGGATGATCTTGGCTGAAGTCTTCTCCAAGAGGATTTTTATCAACTGGAGGAAATGGTTTTCTATCCCTGGTATTCTGAGAGATTTTGTCAAGAGTGGATGCATACATTGAGATGAACATAGGCGCTTTCTCTTGAATTATTGACATGGTGGATTCCATTGATTGATTTTTTTAATGTGAAACTGGCCCCTATCTTTCCCTCTTGGCAGAAGCAGAAGCCTCCGTTGAATTCAAAAGAAACAAAATATACGGTTGAAACTTTTAAGGGATATGTCTTTAATTGAGCTGGGTCT